AAAAAAAAAAAAAAAAAGAATAAAAGTGGATCTGAACGTGTTACTTTGGGGTTTTTTGTAAAATTATTTCTTACATGCTGAATTAGTCTGGATCTTTTTGATTAAGAGTACACACTTTCTGTTGTAAAATATGTTTCTTAAAAAGCTGATAGGATTATTTTTGTGATGGAACTGTGTTATAGATTAATATATTTCAGATAGTTAAAAATAGCGCTTTTAGTTTAGAATGAATATGCACCTAATTTTTTATGAAATTAAATTCATGAATCTTAAATTGTATACTAGTGTGTGAAATATCTTGTTACTGCTTTTATTTAGCAGACTGTGGACTCTGATAAAAGATTTAAATTGTGAAATAAAAAAAGCGAATGAAGGGAAATCTGAGAATGATCGCAGTGTTAGCATCTACTGAGCAGGTTCTCTGTGCTTGACACACACCGGGTGCTTCACGTACATCTTGTTTAATTCAACACTCTCACTACCCCGCTCGGAAGCAGTTATTATTGTTAATACACACCTTTAGAGAGATGATATGCTCGCAATTCTGATTGGGGATGTTGCCCAGATGGTATGCGCAGTTGAAAGTGTGCAAAGACTTTATATATGAGTCTACATCACATCATTCAGGCAAGCTAATATCAAGCAAACGTGGCAAACGGTAACAGTAGGTGTGTTAGTTCCTTTTGTCGCTGAGACAAAATACTGGGCACCCAAAGTTAAAAGGGAAAGGGCTGATTCAGCTCACATAATAGGCTGGCTCCAGGGCAGGATGGCGCGGCAGAGGGGCATCACCGAGGAGAAACAGCTCCTGGCGCCCATGTGGCAGCAAAAGCAACAAGGGATTTAACGGCGTCTTTCAGGCCTTTTTATCTCATCCAGACTACGGGGATAGGTCGGTGCCAAACCAGTCAGTGCGCTGAGTTAGTAACCGCACTCCTAATCCCAGCCAGCCCCCTCTGACCGCGTGAGCTTTGAGGGGACATCCAGACAAAAGACATAACAGCTGGGGAACCCGGGTGGTGAGTATGTGGGCATTCATTGCACTGTGCTCCCAACTTTTCAGTTTGAAAGTTTTTCAGAAAAGTTAAGGGAGGGCGAGGGATGTAACAATGGCGCGGCACCTGCCTGGCAAGTGCAAGGTTCTGAGGTCCTAAGTTTGATCCCCGGTACTTGGGGGAAAAGTTAAGGAGGAGAAGTGAGTCCCCCCTCGGCCCCATCTGCTTTCTGGGGTTCCCCTCCCGGGAAGCCAGCGCTGACCCTGGCCTCCTGCTCGTCCTTCCAGGGGTACTCGGCTTACGCGGGTGACTGCATGCACGCATGCGCATGCGCGGGTCCGTTTGCTAGTTCTGGAGTTTCATTGATAGCCTTTTTTTTCACACTTTTCTAATGAGTTTTTATTATTAGTTAAGCCACGCTTAAGGGTCCCAGGGTAGGGGCCACCATATACTCACGTCCCCCTTCACCACCGTGGGATAGGGCAGAGGACAGAGGACACCTAACTTGCTCAGCGTCGCCCCAGGTGGAAACCCGGGATCTGGGGCAGAGGGACTTGTACAATTCTCGCCCACAGGGACACCCCTTGCCATTGCCGTGGGGTTGTCTGCCAGAGACACCTCTGAAGCAGCGCAGCGTTGAATTTTGGTTTTGAATGCTTTAGAAGTATGGCTGTTTAGAAAAAGCCATTGAGGTGAAGTCCCACGTGATCGTTGTCAAGTGACAGAGGTTACAGGTTGACTATTGCTTAAATCTCGGGGCAAGAAGTATTTTAGATTTTGCAATTTCCCCCCAGATTTTGGAATATTTGCATATACATAATGATCTTGGGGATAACTCCTAAATCCAAACCAGAAATTCCTTTGCGTTTCCTGTACAATTTAGAGCCTGAAGGTCATTTTATGCAGGACTTTTTGCACATCTGTGTTTTGACTGCAAAGAGTTTGGGATTCGGGATTTGAGATTTTTTGGATTAGGGGTTGCTCTACCTGTATTTTGTTGCCCTAGGGTTACCCATAGAGGGCGCCCTCTTGGCTTGACTGCGGCCTTGCTGCAGAAGCTGAGGGAACCTCTGGTAAGGCTGTTAACCTGTGACTCCTGGGATAGTTGTGTGGCTTCCAAAAGTATCAACACTTATGTTCTCCGGCCTCAGCCATTTTTCTGTGAGCTGCAAAACACACAAGGAGCTTACAAAGGCTTTGCAGTAGCAAAGGCTGGAAAAGGGAAAGGTTGCTGAAGAGGGTAAATAAAACGCCCCATTTCCAGACAGAAGAGACACCTCTTCCCATCCCAACTATTTTGATGCTGATTACCTGATGAGCTAAGATTTTTACACGAAAGGAAACTAATTTTGTTTAATATATTAGCACTGATTGTATATCACTGGAGTGGGAAGATATCTCTGTGAATCAATCATAATACTAGTCTTTCCCTATGTATAGTTATTTCTTTACTTATTTATTTGGAAACAGGGTCCCACTCTGTAGTTCAGGCTGGACTTGAACTGGCAATCCTCCTGCCTCAGCCTCCCAAGTGCTGGGATTACAGGCATAAGCCACCATGACTGGCTAGTTATATTTAGGGAGACAAGATTTCTCCACATTATTTCTGGATTTGTATAATAAAATATTAAAACAGTGACTGTGGCCCTATCATCATCATCATCATCATCATTATTATTATTTGGTGTTTTGAGACAGGGTCTTGACATGTAGTTCAGGCTGTTCTTGAATTCACAATGATCTTCCTGCCTCAGTTTCCCAAATTCTAGGATTATAGGTGTGCACCACCATACCTGGCAGTGTGGTCCTTTTAAACATATTTGCATCATACTAGTATATAAAAGACTTGTTTAGCCTAGTAGAAATATTGTTTTTATTAATGTTGAATGTGTATAGTAACTTGAAGTAGACTAAGGTTTTTTGCCATTTAGTCGATGTATATAGATACCTATTTTCAGAATTTTGAGATGCTTAAAAAATTTGTGTATTGCTTTAAAATATAGCTTAAATTAGCAAAAAACCATAGCTGTTAACATCAATTTTGTCCCTTGAAGGAATTTGTACTGCAAAGTCACACACAAAGTGGACAAAAATTCATGGCAACTACTTGTAATGATACCTAGAATAACAAAAAGGGAAATGTTTAGGGGTTTGGGTCTGGGCTGAAACGCATATGGTACACTTCTAAAATGGAAGATGATGAAGACAGAAAGCATAAGAAAGCTTTCTGCTTATGAAAGGGATACCCACCTTTTGACTTCACAAGAGTTTCTGCAGAGTGCTTATAAAGGGAGATCTGAGAAACTGGTCACAAGCCCCAGTACAGGAGGGGGTGGAAATCAGGTAATACTTTCAACCACAATTTTATTTTTTGGACCAGTTTCTTTTATTTATTTCTTTGTACATTTTGGATGTACACAAATGGTCACGCTCATCAGAGGGGATTTGTAGCTGTGCATGACGTATCTTCCTGCTTTTTTCCCCATTGCCCTCCCTCCCTTCAACCCCTCTTCGCCTCCTTGTTTACAAAAGCTTCGTTTCCATTTCTTTTCCTCCTCCCTTGTTCTCTTTCTCATTTGAACATTTTCTTCCCGTTTCCCAGTATCTTTTATACATTTTCGTCCTTATTTACACTTTCGGTTTCTCACACCAGACAATTTTATTTTTTTGTAAACTTTCATTTGTGAAATAGTGATTCTCGGAAGATTAACAAACGTGGTACAGAGAGGCCCTCTGTTCCCTTCACCTGGTTTCCCCTGGACCTTCCATTTCCTATACCTCCAGTACCAGGAAACTGACCTTGGTACAAGGTGTGTGTGGCACTCTGTGTGCTGTTATCACAAGTGTGGCTTTGGCATTGGCTGGTCGCCACCCCAGGGAAGACACAGACCTCTCCCTTCACCACAGAGGTCTCCTGGGCCTCCCCACTGAAGCCACTCTGGTCCTCTCAGACTGCCTGCCCCTCACCCTGGCAACCATTAATCAGCTGTTCATTTCTGTAATTGTGTCATTTCGAGATATTCTATGCAAGGAATCCTGCAGTATGAGATGGGTCTTCGCCGCTCAGTGTAATACCCTTAACATTCACGCAAGTTGTTGCTCGTGTGAGCAGTTGCTCCCTCTTCCTCATTGAGTTGTACGTATTCCACGGTGTAGATGTATCACAGTTTCTCATCAGTCCCGTGTTGTTGGATCTTTGGGCTGTTTTCAGTTTGGAGCTGTTACAAATGAAGCCACTGTGAACAATCACATACAGGTTTTCGTGTGAACATAAGTTTTCATTTTTCTGGGATAAATGCCCAGGTTGTAGGATAAGTGTGTGCTTATTTTTTGAGAAACGGCCAAATTGTTTTCCAGAATGCTGCACCCTTTTACATTTCCAACCACAGTTTTCTTTTTATATAGAATGTTGCCGACTAATGTTAACACAGTGGCACTAGGCCAAGGCACGTGAGAGTCTGAGACACTTTTCTTTTCTAGAGAAATTTAATATATATTAGATGAGGGGAAAAAAAAAAAGCAGGTCAATATGAATCTCTTTGCTGGCCCACAAGGTTCCACATTTTACTTCTTATTTATTTATTTATTTATTTATTGGTACCGGGGATTGAACTCGGGTCCTTGCGCTTGCAAGGCAGGCCACCGAACCGCTGAGCTAAATCCCTGGCCCTTTACTTCTTATTTTGTATGAATGATTCTTCCATCACCTTTTCTTTAAGTTTTTTTTTTTTAATTTTTATTTTGAGAAAGGGTCTTGCTAATTACTAAGTTGCCCAGGCTGGGCTCAAACTTGCTGTCTTTCTGCCTCAGCCTCCTGGATTACAGGTGTACGCCACCATGCCTGATTCAGTCTAACCTTTTTTTTAGAAGTTGCAGTGAACAGCACATGACACAGGCCACCTGACTGTACCTTTCATCTACTGTGACCCAGGCTGCCTCTGAAGCTCAGTCCTGTTCTGGAATGTTCTGCTCACACATTTGGAATAGTAAGGTCACTGAGGGACATTAGAGTCATTTCAGAACCATCTACAGAGGGATCTTGCCCCTGCACACCCCACCCTCAGCGCCCAGCTTTAGTTGTTAGAGCACAGGGGCGAGGCCACACTCACCTGTGTTAGGAGACCAGGCTCCCGGGCCACTGCCCTGTTCAGTTACTCAGCCTGTGTTTCCTCACTTGCACGTTGAGAGCACAGGTAACGGAAACAACCAGCAGGATCCCCTCACAGGGCCTGTCAGTCACTGTGCAGACAGATATGGTACTGAACAATGTGGCCTTAAAGTGCCCCAAAGAGAAAGTGTAAGTACATTGCTCAGCCCGGATCTCCGGCATGTGGCTAGCTTAAAAGACATGTTTTTGGCATTTCAGTCAAACTCAATACTTGTTTATGGTCTTGGATGGAATAGAGAGGAGCCAATGTTGCACATTTTGCTTACTATTATATATGTACCTTTTCTCTTTATGCTGCTGAGGGTTGAAGCCAGGATTTTACACATGCTAGGCAAGCGCTCTACCCCTGAGCTACATCCCCAACCCTGATCTAGCACATTCTTCATTGTAGTCAGGCATTAAATATCAGATTGCTAAGAGCTGCGCTGGCTTCATCTTGTCCCTAACGTCAAGTCAGTTACTCACCAAATGCATTCATTTTTTGCTTAAAGCCTGGGATTTAATTTCTGAACTTCATATCTTGAACATCAGATTCAGGAAGGGTCTCTTGCTTAAGAGTCACTTGCATAAAACTCTGAAGAAAGATGCTGCTTATAAACTTACAAAATGTCACTTGCTGAGTATTTGAAGGTTGATATATTACCAAAAGACTCCCACAATAATAAAGGATAATTTCATTGTTTATAAAAGTCAATGCATTTCATAAATACTTAATCAGAAACATAAAATATAGCAGGGGAAAAACCCTTAGAGGAAACTAATTTTTAAATTCGTAAAAAGGCTGGGGAAATAGTTCAGTAGTAAAGTACTTGCCTAGCACATTCAAGACCCTGAACAGATCCTCCAAAAATAAGGCAGCTGAATGAATCCAAAAGTACTGAGAAGTCTAAACTCGAAGCCAGTTGTTCATTACACAGATTAGTTAATAACTGAACTTGGCACCTGGCAAACTGCTTGTGAGGTTCACGGCTCTGGTCAGGAGAGTGTTTGGGGGCAGAACCAATATGGCAGCCAAGGCAGACTGGAGCATGTGGGAAAGGAAAAACAATTTTCCTCAATCCTTGTAAATTCTTAGTTGGAACGGAGTTCCAAGTTCTAACAGGCAGGTTAACAAGAGAAAGATAAAAGTTTATTGACGTACATATTTCACATATCCACAGGGGGTATTTAGGGAGTGAGTAGTTCTCAAAGAGGTGGCTTTGAATTCAGCTGATTTAACATTTTCGAAAAAGAACAGTACATTTTTTGAAGGTAAAAAGACAGGACTTTGAGTCCTAGTTGCTAGCCAGTAAAGCTTGTCCACAGAGAGTCCTCCTGTGCCATCTGAAGGGCTACAGTCATCTTGAAGGGAGAGAATGGGGGACAGGACACCTCTTGTTTCCGCAAATCTGTGTCCTGCTTTCAGGCAAGCAGAGTGAGGGCAGAGAGCTTTCCTGCACCTGCTTTCTTGTCCACTGCCTGCAGCTCTATTGTCCTTGCTGGGGGCTCTTTGGGGGAGTCATACTCTGATCTCTCGTGGGCATTACTATAGGGTGGGGTGAGAATGTCCTTCTGGCTGAACGCAGGTCACACCTCCTGCTTTTGAGAGGGAATCTGGAGCCCCTCTGATGTCCACAGGGGAAGTTGGGGTGCTACTCCTCACTAGGACCCAGATAACCACAATGGGCTCCAAGCAGTAACCACCAATACCGACTGCGGTGAATGAACAGACTCATCGGGTAACATGGGCTGCAGTCACCAGGCATCAAACACTCAGAAATCTGTTGCCAGAAATTACTCAACCTCTGGACAGCCCAAGTTTCTGATGCAAAAAATGCCCCTGTCAGCCAGGTACTGTAAGACCACCAGGGATCTTAACCAAACGTTCCGAAGAACTACGGATCAGAGACAGCAAAAGAACATCCCAGAGGAACCGAACGAGCTGCACCGAGAATGGTGTTAAACAGACCTTTATTAGTCTGGACAGACGGCCCCTCCAAGCATCGCCTTGGAGAGATCCCAAGCCCAGAGTACAAGAGGGTTTTATACGTTTCTAGATGGGGCGGAAGCAAGCAAAATGACAGAAGCCAAATGTGGTGGTTCGAAGAAAGGAACAGAACGTATAGTTTGCACATGATGAGGCTGACGTTTCTGTGACCAAGTACAGAGCTGTGGTTAATCTCTATAGGAATGCCATTTCCGTGACAAAGTGTAGGGCTATGGTTAATCTTTACGGGAATCGTCTGTCTCTTTTACCTGGAATGTTCCCACTTGGTGTTTGTTCCTGACCATTGTCCTGAGTAAACGCGGACTTTTTAGTGACCTTGGGCCTTTCTCGTTCTCTCAAGAGGGCGAGCTTAACCTTCAACTCAGATGGCGTCCATGCTGGCACTTTATGCCTGACAGTATGGCGGTGCAAGTCTGTAGTCCTCGCACTCTGGGAGGCTGAGGTACAAATATCACAAGTTCGAGCCCAGTTTGGGCAACTTAGCAAAACCCTATCTCAAAATAAAAATGCTCCCCTCCCCCATGCTGCTGGAACGGCCTGAGATGGTAGCCAGGGTCTCCGGAAGCTGAGATTTCTGGAGATTTCACTGCTGTCAGTGCTCCTCAAGTTTCTGACCTTTCCTGGGGCTGTACTGGAGATCAGGAGTACCTTTTTTTTTTTTTCCTGCTTGGACGCTCGAAGACAGCCCAGACTTTGCAATAACAAAGGTTAATATTCTGTCATCTCGCAGATCCATCTCCCCAGGCTCTCCAAAAGTAAATGTTATGGTGCTGAAAACACTGGAGTCTGGGTTCCGGTTCACTGGAGAGCCGCTCACCTCTCAGAGTGTACCCTGGGAGCCCCAGCCTCCTCTGTGGCCTGAACCTTCATAAACTTGGCTTTAGGCTGTCAGCACCGATTTAAAGAGATTTGCTTTGTTCCTTGGCTGCTGAGAAAGAACTGACATTCACAGCAGGGTCTGGGGGGTTAACAGTGAAACCTGAGCTGGCTTCTTCCTCCCTCGGAGGGGCAGAGTGAGTCAGATGTTTGCACAGAAGGCTATGGTGTCAAATCCACACATTCACAGGCCTTCTGCCTTTGCCACTTTAAACCAGGAAGGTGTGCAGCATAACAGTTTTAATTGCTAAACCCTAGCTGCCAACCCCAGTCTCTAGATTTTGCAAGCATTGAGTGTGAACAGCTGTGAGCAGTGGTAGTTTTCTGCCAGGTGGGTTTATTTGTCCCCTTGCTCATCTTTTGCTTCCTTGGGTGAGCCCAGGTCCACAGCAGGGCCTGTTGGCTGCAGGGCCTTCTCTCCCCGGTCAGAGGCCACGGCCTCTCCTGAAGACTTAGCTTCATCCCTGCTCCTCGCTGAGCTCTATGGAGCTTGTGTCCATCCCTGCACCTCCTGCGGACTGTGTGACCGCTCAGAATCCTCATACCCACTGGAGCCTTTCCCTGGGCACTTTCCCATCCCCTCAACACAGGCACAGACCTAGTTCCTGCGGCCCTGCGGACTGGGGTAAGGCCAAGGGAAGGGAGGGGTGAGTCCCCTCTGGGTCATCGGTTTCGGGGCTGGCTGAAGGATCTGTTGGTCCTGCCTGTGTGGCCTGTTGGCTCCGGGTTCCACTGTGGCTCTCCTGCCATCCCAGCCCTGATGGGACAGCTCCCATGCTGGTTGTACCTCCATCCACGGGCTTCCACGCTCTGGAGCACGTTCTCAGTCAGCTCCCTCCCTGGCTGGAAAGGAAGGAGAGAAGAGATCAGGAAGCAGCCATGGTGAGGATTAACACCTTCTAGCAGGTGCCAGGCCTGTGGCCAGCTCTCCCTTTTACGCCAGCTCTGTGTTTGGGGGGTGGGTTGGGTTGTAGACATCTTTTGCAAAAGGAGTTAAAAAATGATAACATAGTATTCTCTAGTATCTGTTGAGTTCAAACTGGACTTGGCACTTTTGGATGAAGTATTAATATTGTTTTCCTTTTACAGCTCAGAAAACTGAGGCTCCGTAAGATAAGAAACTTTGTTCATGGTCACGAAGCAGGTGATGAGAGCTGGGACTTGAATCCCAGGCTTCCTGATTCTAGAGTCCAAAGCTGTAGTTAGAACCTCACTCTGTCTTATATACTTAAAAAATGCTGGTGCTATAAACCTGCTGGGGTATTTTAGAGTTATATGTTTATACTCATTCTCATCTTGGCTTGTATTTTATTCTCTAGTCCTGCCCAGCTCTCCGTGGGACTATAAAACACAGCACCCAGCAGTTTGCCCAGCTGCCAGGCCTGAGTTACAAGCTCAGTACATACTTGGCAACTGATTGATTATGCATTGCACAAATTATTTTGCATTCTCCTGTATGTGAATCCAATGTGGGTTTTTCTTTCAGAAAAAGAAGGACATTGTTGGCAGCATTGTACTGTAAAAATAAAGTCCTTTTAGTTCTACTTAAGAAAAAAAAAGTTATGTACTGAGACTCCAACTCTTCCTTCATTTTGGTCTCCCAGACAGCTCTCAGTCTAATTTGCCCAGGGTGGAAGCCCCTGCAGGGTTTGGGCATGACAGACAGACTGACAGACAGACAGACAGACCGACCTTGGTTTTAAATCTCCGACACGTGCTGTCTTTGTGACCTGGACTGGTCACATAGCTCTCTGAACCTCTGTTTCCTCCTTATAAAATAAGAGCAATAATAGAACCTTCTTTAGGGATGGTGGAAAGGTCAACAAGCATTCAATGTTTACTTCCAATCTGTTAATTAGGTCAACCTTGTCAGACTGTTTTATCGAGTTAAACTTTATTCTTAAGATTCTTCTGTAAACACCTTAAGTATAGCATGCCTTTGGATGAAATTAGGAATCCATGTGTACTGATACAGTGTAGAGCTGGTACTGTATATCAGTAAGTAAGACGTTTTCAGTTGTGAGGAAGAGAAAAGGCTGACTCAGATGACCCAGACAATAAGAAAATATATCTCCTGAAGGTATGATTCAGCGCTCAACCATGGCAGTTAAGACCCAGATTTTCCCATCTCTTTTTCAGCTTCCTGTGAGAGCAGGGTGCAGGTTCACTAGGGCCACAGGTGAGAACCTGAATGGACCCAGCAACACCCCGGAGGGGCCTCCTAGCATGGCGAAGATGTTCAAGGCGCCAGGTGAACTTGTGAAATTGTGGGTAGTACTAAACCCTGGGTAACCTATGGTTTTTTCCTGTATGTAGTACCTGTGAAAAGTCTGACTGAGGAATTAGACACTAAGAGATTAACAGCAGTAACTAATAATAGAACAATTATAACAGTCACTTGTAATAAGAGTTGTGACAGTGTGGGCTCTCTCAGAATATCTTACTGAACTGAGATGTTAGCGCCTCAGTATACGATTTTCTTCCCCTTAAGTTGAGTGCTTTTAGCTTTGCACTTACAGGAAGCACTTTTTGGCACATCAGAATTGCTAATGCGTTCTTTGGGGGCCACCATAATAAACTATGGGTTGCCTGAACACAGGCACCACAGCACCGCAATGGTCATGTGATCACCAAGATGGCTGCCGAGTGACTAGCCGGTGGACAGCAAATCCATTGCACAGCAGGACCATTCATGACTCCGGCAGGTCAGGGCAGGGTGGCGCAAGATTTTATAACACTGTTAAGAATGTCTGCAATTTAAAACGTATGAGGTGCTTACTTCTGGAATTTTCCATGGAATATTTTCAGCCATGGTTGACTGTAGGTAACTGAAGCTGCTGAGTGTGACAGCTTGGATAAGGGGGAGTACTGTTCTGCGAGGGGCAGAGTGGGGGCCTTTTATTTCAGTGTCCTC